AGGGGTTGAGGAAGAAGAAAAGTTTTTGGGGTTGACGTCCAGATCTAAAAGGGCTACGTTACGTTGTCATAGTTGTTGAAAATTTGAAGTTGGAAATCAGTTACGAGTAAGCCATATACTGTATTTGTCAATTTCATTATTGGGCATCAGCATGAGTCACTTTAGGTTGTATGTATGACTTTAATGTTTTAGCGGAGAGTCATTTGCATGTCATATGTTAGTTAATATATATTGTAAAGCTGTTTGAAAGCATGTGCCAAATATTGGGCATCAGCATGAGTCAGATTAGGTTGTATGTATGTCTTCAATGTTTCACCAGAGAGTCATTTGGCTGTCATATGTTAGTTAATATATATTGTAAAGCTGTTTGAAAGCCTGTGCCAAATATTGGGCATCAGCACGAGTTACGTTAGTGTGTATGTAGGTCTTTAATGTTTCACAAATACTGATTTTAATGTCATATTCATATATGATGGTGGTGATGTGATATTCAGGGTTAAATTGCAAGAACTGTAAAATGGAGTGCGAAGGACAGGTGACACCGGAAGTTAGTTCGGAATTGAAACCAAAATTGGGACTTGAATTTGATTGCTGTGAGGATGTGTTCAATTTCTATAATATGTATGCCGCGAAAGCCGGATTCGGCATTCGGTGTTCTACAACGAGAACGTGCACATTCACAGGAGAGGTAACAAGGAAAGAATATGTATGTTGTAAACAAGGGTATGCGTTGACAAGCACTGTTAGTCGTAAGAGAAGACAACGAGGTTGTACTCGAACTGGGTGCAAGGCTAAACTTGTGATTTTGAAGGTAAATGAGAAGAATAAGTACACTGTTGTAGGATTCAATGAGGTACACAACCATGACATGACCACAGTTGATAAAGTCCATCTATTGAGATCTCACCGTAACTTAACAGAGTCTACAAAGGCCTATAGTGCACATATGAGCAAAGTTAATATCCCTGTACATAAACAGGTAAGCCTTCTTAAGGTGCAAGTAGGGGGACTGGAAAATGTTGGGTTTGTTAGGAGAGATGTCTATAATTATGCATGGGACGTGCGTGGGGAGGTGATTGGGCATGATGCAGAGCTGCTGAAGGAGCATTTTTTGGCTGAGCAAGGAAAAAATGATTCATTTTATTTCAATATGGAGGTAGATTCGGAAGTAAATGTTTTCTGGGCAGATGCAAGGTCAAGACGAGCTTATGGGTTTTTTGGGGATGTGGTTGTATTTGATACGACGTTCAACACGAACTGCTATGGGATGGTCTTTGCGCCTTTGTTAGGCGTTAATAACCATAGGCAGACAGTGTTGTTTGGTTGTGCATTCCTAACTAGTGAAACCACGGATTCATTTGTATAGTTGTTCGAAGAATTCAAGAAAGCCATACCAGGTGAGCCACCCAAAATGATCATCACTGATCAAGATGCAGCCATGTCAAAGGCAATTGCTTTAACTCTCCCAACAACATTCCATAGATATTGCATATGGCATATCTTGAATAAGTTTATGGAGAAACCCGGCATTGGGGAATGTTTTTCGGAAATGTGCAAATGCATATGGGGTATGGACACGAAAGAAGAATTTGATGCGAAATGGGATGAAATCGTCACAAGCAATGGGCTGAAAGACCATCCGTGGCTGAGCTCGATTCATGCTTTGCGGGAGAATTGGGTTCCATCATATGTAAAACATGTGTTTTTGGCTGGGATGTCAAGTAGTCAACGGGCTGAAAGCTGTCATACATTTTTCAAACCATATATTAACCGAAAAAACACATTGATGGAATTCATTGTACGTTTTGAAAGAGCTCTTGGTTCACAGAGGCACAAGGAGTTAATGGCTGATCATGTTGATACCAATGAAAAACCTTCACTGCCATTTCGAACACCAATGCAACATCAAATGGCACACATTTACACTCGGGAAATTCTTGAAATGTTTGAGAGGGAAGACGTCCAAAGCATTTTATGCTTGTTTGAACTTGTAGAGCAAGATGAGACCCAGTGCAGGTACAAAGTAAGTGAGCGGGTAAATCCGGGGGTGACACGGATGAAGGAGCTTGTGCATGATAAAGATGCCGATAAAGCTTATTGCAACTGCAAAGGATTTGAATTTTGGGGTATTCCGTGCCGACACATCCTAACATTTTTAAGAATGAAGCAGGTGGAGCAGTTGCCAGACAATTACATAGTGAAACGATGGCTTCAAAGTGCAAAGTGCGGTGTAGTATATGATAAGAATGACAAAGAAGTTAAAGATTGCGTGGACGGTTTGGTTTTGGTTAAGAGATCGAAACTTGGCAAAGTTGCAGGTGAATTGATAGATTCTGCTTTGTTGTGTGATGAAGGTTTTGAGTTGCTGAAAAATTAGATTTGATGACATTCGTGGGAAGCTTACAAGGTTGTTGTCATCAAGAGCTCGTGTCAAAGAAGAACCCAATGGAGAGGCCGGAACTAGTTCTTCCCAAGTCAGAATGAAGGATCCCCATCAAGTAAAAGCAAAAGGGCGTGCGAGAAGAGTGAAAGGACAAAAAGAGAAGGCAGTGGAAGGACATAAACGGCGGTGCAGTGAATGTAGGAAGACTGATCATGATAGACGAAGTTGTCCAAAACTTGTGAGCGGGTAAGTGAATATGTAATTGTCTGGGTTTGAATTTTATACAAGAAATGCTATTGACTTCTTTCTTTGTTTCGATGTTGCAGCTCTTCATCTTCCGACACAGAAGTTGGTGCTGCAGTTGATGAGAATTTGTAGCCCAGTCAGAGCACGCAGGACAGGGAACCTACTATGACAGAGTCATTTATGCAAGAGTTTGATTTCATTTACGGTCCCAAAGTTTGAATATTTGTTGATACCAATTTGCGTCTTTTTGGAAACCATCTAGAACCGTTAGTGAATCTTATGTAAGTGCCTCATGTTGATACTCAACTAAGGTATGTGAACAGCAACAGTGAAACCGCCCAAAAACAAAGTAACTTTTGTATTCGATAATTATTAAGTGTCACACACGTATCGCATGACTTACATTCGGACATAGAAAAATAAAATAAAATAAAGTACATTAAAGCCAACAATAAGTTATTTGAAGAGCCACTTAGTTATCAGCATCAGAGTCATCACTTGACTCAAAGCGGCCACGTTCCTCCCAATCTAGAATGCGTTTGTCGTTGTAGCAATCCTCCCACCACTCTAGGGGTAATGCAAACAATGGGAGATGGGGGCTTTGGGGGAGAAGGGGTCGGGGACCGATAGTATTGTACATTGTCTGGACCTACCTCGAATAGATCTCTGCACGTCCCACAAGGATGGTCGTGAACGTCACCATGCTTGCAATAATTATGCGCAACTCGAACTTTCGGATCCATCTTTGGTTGAAGGTGGATGTCCATCCTGGGGCTTTGGTGTTTTCAGAACGTGGAGCCAGTGTTTGAAAGGATTCGTTTGGGATGGGATTCATGCAATGTGGGTTTTATACACCTTTGCAACGGTTGCAAGGACCCGATGAAATATGTAGGTAAGGGACTCTTGAAACCATCACTATGTGCTAGTAATGTGTCAAAGAACCGAATATCTGTGTCAGATAATCTTGAAAAAATTTATCGACCCACCAACAATTTTTGAAACCAAAAATTTGAGCACTATTAGTAACTGAACTCTACTAATCCAGTAGTTAGTGATTGAAGAAATAAGATTGAACTTTGGTAAGAACATAGAACCCAAGGTTGTGATAGCAGATTTAAACCCGAATAAGCTGCACGTAAGTCGGATCGGGCATAAACATGTAAACACAAACCCATATCTGGCATTAACAAAAAACAAACAAGTGAATAACGATTGCCTAGTGATTGATATGGCTACCAGCTGTCATTATCGTTGGCTTTTGCTGGTTGGTGGCCTAGCTCTGGTGGGTGTACACCGCCGGAGATGATTTGCTGTGCAGCAGACAGAGTTATGGCGTCCCAGTCAATATGTTTGTGGACATTTGCAGCGAACCGTCGGAATTGCTCAAAACCTTCGTTGAAAGCCACAGACATTGCCTGCGCATGCTTGTCGCCTCCTTTGTGGATGCTCAAAGATTCGTACGTAGCATCATCCTGGGTCATTTGCAAATCCTCTGCTTTGTGCTTTCTTCTTTGGCCACAAATTCTGTGCTTCTCTCTTCTGTAACGCGCTTTGTTCACTTGGCGCGTCAAATACGCCAACTTCTGCTCAGCTCCGACACACTTTTGAGTCCAATAATGGACCCAGGAGGAGTCGTGTTCCAGTTTGTTCTTCATATCATTTATTTCCACAGCAGGATCATCGGAGTCGCCCTCGCTTGCCGAGGAGGTTGGAAGTGGCAACGGTGGTAGAGGGGACCTTGGAGTCCCCCTGATTTGCATTGCCGTCTGAACTGGTTGACATGTTGACAAATCTTCAGTTTCTTCAGATTGGGGGATTCGTTGTATGCACAAAACACAACTCCAAAGAAGAGTCAGGAAGAAAACAAGATGTTGATCTACGGCAATGAGTATCCCATAGCCATACGACACCGTTTATATATGATGTCCTGGAGTATTCCGCAGTTTGTGTTATCTGTTTTTCCCATCTGTCACATCAGTTTTGTTTTTTTGTTCAGTAATGAGAGTATTTGATTTAGGTTGAATTCGGATTAAAGCCTCGTATTAATCACAGAAAGCATACACATGAATTTTGAATTTTCAACTTTCAATGAGGTGGTAGCATTTGTCGAATTATTATCCAGATTTTTGCAAAGGAAGGGTGAGAGAATGGTCACTGACGTGCACGTGTGCACCTACCCAAGGTTGATGCGGTTAGGTTCCGCCATGTGTTGTATTTCGTTATTTTCATTACACAACTGGGGGAAAATTATTGAAGACATGGTAATAACAAGGACAAAAATCGGAAAAAATGCCCCAAAATTGATACCAGCTCCTTGTGGCATTACACAACTGGGGGAAGCTATAAATCTTCGAAAGTGTTTTTTCAACTCACTTTCGTACTCAATTTCATAAGATGTGATAATACAGAGTGTACACTTCATCTTCGGAATATGGTTTGAACTCGCTTTCGTTTCAACCGTAACATTATGTTTTGCAAACCTTTTCCGTCTATTTCCTTCATGTTCATTATCTAATTTAAAATAACACAACTATCGGTTACATTTGCTTCGTATCTAATTATTGGGAAAAAGTAGTCTTATTTTCTCCTTTCAAATGACACACAGAATATTATTATTGTTATTTCATTGGTCATATATTATATATTTCACACGAATAAGCAGACCTCATATTACCATTTTAGGAACAACAACTCCATATAAGAGATCCAATCAATGCTAAAAACTATCCCATTCCTTTTAGGCATTTTGTAAAGAGAAATTAAATATGTTGACAGAAAATAATGTAAACATACTTCAATTAAAGCATACCCATTTAGCTTTACAAAAGTACGCATAATAAACCAAAAGCAGTTTCCCATATTTTTCACTCGCTCTTTCTTCACGTCTTACAGCTTGGATACATACAAGATACCATCTGAAGTGTCCAAAGCAAAATGGTTACACCTTCAAGAGCGCACACAAACTTGGAACAAACGTAGTCAAAATGAACTTTTACGCATTTTTTCCAAACAAACTTACTGAAAATAACGAAAATGAACGTTGTCCAGCGATGGTTTACTCCATGGTGATTTCGTCCCAGTTGTAGCTTGGGACAACACATTTTGCATACTCTCGGAACAGGTCAAACCCTTTACGTGCTTCTGCTTCCCTCATCTGTACTGCCTCATTCGAACCACTGAACCTTCGACAACCTTTTCCTTTCGCAAGCCTACCCTCAGTTTCATTAGTTTGACTGATCGAAGGTGTAATTTCGCTTGACTTTTCTCCTTCCCCAATGTTTCTTCATACCATCTTAGACGTATCTTCTGACGTTTTATTTCAGTCTTCAACACATCGTACTGCATCTGGCCGATACGACCTGCATCATCGTGGTCCTCAGATGAAAAGTTGATGGATTTCGCAGGTCCTACAGGAACATCTTCAGCGTTCTTATTCTTGTGTGGCACCATTTACGGTTTATGGGTTTAGGGTTATGCTCAATGATTAATTCATAATAGTAGATTTGCAAACACTTCTTCATATTTCATAGCTGTCTGGATTAGAAAATTACAAAATATATACTTGAAAAGCCAAAACAGAACACAATTTATAAATATATACTTGAAATTGCTTGAAGATTTCCAGACGCAATAAGTTTCTTACTTCTTCATCACTTGAACTGCCAAATTCAGAAATGATAGAAATAACAACAGTAGGAGGATATTTTTAATGCCCTTCACTATACAGATGACTTCAGCATATGCATTAAGTTCCTTCACATCCAGCTGGTTTTCAATTTGAGATTCAGTTGGCATGTTGCCTCCAGTCACCCATTCATAGCCACTACACCTTGTAGCTCCCTAAAAAAAATAAGAAAGTTACATTTTTCATTTTCGGATTACAATGTCAGACCCAATTCTTTTACTCTGTAGCAGTTTTCGTTGGCTTAGGCAATGGCCGATCCGAGTTAGTGTTATTGGCTTAGGGAAGATAATACTTACATATGTTGTGAAGCACTTCCAATACGGTCTGCCCATATTCCTTTCAGATTTGGAAATTAGCATAACCATCTCAGCATTGCAGTGCCGACACCTCTTTCCTTGAGTGTTTGTTGAAGAATTTGACATGGCTTTGCCCAGAAGGGAAAATGAAGATGACAGAAGATGACAACCCTGCCAAAAATTTACTCAAAATCCCCAAATAATTTTCCTTAAAAGTTGAAAAGGAATGGTATTTTATTTTTTAGGGAGAACTAATATGGAGTTTCAAGTTTGAATTGTCCTGTTTTGGTCGTAACAATCCGTGACTGTGAGCGGCAAATTCAAAATTCGCAGGAATGTTTTTTTTTTTGTTAACCCTAACCCATGAGCGGGAAAGAAAAGCATTGGTTTAATATTTTTTAACCCTAAGCATTCGACAGTAAACCCTAAACCGTAGGCGGCAAGCCCCTACACCCTTGAAGTCATTTAAAAATTGAATATTTAACTGGAAACGATTAGAAAATAGAAAAACTGGCGAGTGGCGGAATGGGAATGCGCCGCGTGGCAGTCGGGCTTGCAGCTCCCCACTCCAGCGCCTCCACTTGGCATTTCTTGTATATTTTATTCAGTTTTTCCCCAAAAATCGTTAACAATGCCGGAAAATTAAGGAAAAAATTGGGAAATTTCCTAACTCTGTGTGGGGATGAATACTTCATACGGAAAGTACAAACCCTGGTTTAGGAGCGAGTGAAAAATAAAATTTGGTAACCAACCCTACATTCGGATGATGCAAATGAAAAGCCTAATACACTTTGTAAACCCTACACTCTCATATGTTCGATCACATTAATCCCATATCCAAATTTGTTTGTCCTGCTCTTTTTCCGGGTATGTCATCGAAGGAAATCTCGTCCCGATCGCTGAGGAATTTTTCGGGATTTTTTCACCTTCAATTTCGATTTTTAATTGAATATTTAAGTGGAAACTATTAAAAAATAGAAAAACTGGTGTGTGGCGGCATTGGAGCGCCCCGCGTGGCGGACAGGCTTGCAGCTCCCCACTCCAGCGCCTCCACTTGGCATTTCTTGTATATTTTATTCAATTTTTTTCCCCAAAAATAGTTTAAAATACAGGAAAATTAAGGAAAAAATTGGGAAATTTCCTAACTCTGTGTGGGGATGAATACTTCATATGGAAAGTACAAACCCTGGTTTAGGAGCGAGTGAAAAATAAAATTTGGGAACCAACCCTACATT